AAAATAAACAATACAGTACAGCGGGACCTTGATTTAATGGACCCGCGACTAATGGACTTCAGATGTAACAAAATTGTGTCACGTACGCTCCAAAAAACTCAAAGCTGTGGTTTGTTCTATATACACAACAGATCTTTTTCTTTCTCTCTTTTATGTTTGACACGGCCACTGTACAGCACCCATATCTCAAGTTTACTTTGGCAACTCAAAGGAATAAATACTTTTTTTTTTAAATTGGTTAAACCATAGCTTTGTTTTTTTTCTCAAAAAAACTCATTAGTCAGGTTATGTTTATCTCAAGACACTTTTTTTTTTAAACTTTATAAACCTGTGTCATTCAAACCCGTGTGCTGGAGGAAAGTTAGTCGACATGAATTAGGGCTACCATGTGGGGCGCCAAACGCCCTATTTCCCCCCCCCCCCCAAACCCCCAGCAGCAGACTGCAGGCTAGGTCAGACGCCATGGTCATGGTAATTTGAGGAATGTGTCCATTTCCTCCTTTGCGGGGGGATTCAAACAAAAGAAGCTTCTCCCACCTCAGATCACGTTGTGCTCAACCAATCCGGCCACTACCTCAACGGCGCCTGCACTTCCAATAGCAACAAAAAAAACAAAACAAAAAAACGTTTATTTATAATGACAGCAGCCTTTGGGAGAATTTGGAAAACTGGTTTCTGTGTTTTTGTGTCAACATTGCAGGTGAAAACAAAGAAAATGTGTTGAGTGTACACACACTACGATGTCACAACCACAACAGTCCAAACAGCAAGACAAAAAGGTGGCTAATTGGTGACACAGTGCCCTGGAACGTATCGTAACTCAAAAAAATTGGACACTCGGGCACTTGTAAAACAAGCTACAAACAAACACAACAATGTGCACGTCCACGTGTCAGAGTCTACTAGAAAAATGGACAAGTATCAAACATTGTCGACAAACGGCAACAATTGAGGCAGAGTGGGTTCCAAGACCGCGAGCCACTAGTGACCCTAAAATGACTGCTTCAAACCAAAATGGCTGACTTTCCGTCTCTTTTCGGGCATGACTTTTTGACAAAAAAATTGTAGGGCTCCTGACAAATGACATTCCTACCAAGTTTCATGTTGCTTGATGTAATAGGCTTTGGGAGGTGATTTTTTTTTAGAAAAACTCCAGAGGTGCTACCGCATGTGATTCAACAATGGGTGTTTCAAACCAAAATACCAGACCTCCTGCGACTTTTCAAAACATGACTTTTAGAGACTTTTTTTGTCGGTCTACTCATCATAGAATTTATGTATTCCAGTGAAACCAGCCCTGGAGGTTGAATTTAAAAAAAAAACTGCACAAGTTCAATTTGAAATAACCAAACCAAAATGGCCGACATTCTGCATGTTTTCAGTCACTCGTGTTTCTTCTATTTTGCGGGTCTACTCATGACATTCCAAATTTCATGTTTCTAAGGAAGGCTTTTTGTTTTAATTGTGTCCTATTATGCGGTTAACCTCGCAGACTTTTTTGACTTCTTGAAACCGGCGCTGCCCCGGACAAAGACGACATTGTGTCGATTAGCGTACACAGTTAGCATTTTTAGCGCCGTCGGGTCGTTTCTTTGCATAACGGCTCGTCTTATCTGGAGACTAGTGTCTGGTGTCTGTTTAACCGCCATGCAAATGAGCAGGTGGACGTTTGCCCGCCAGAGATAAAGCCAACCTGCGCCGTCTCCAGGCCGCCAGGCAAGCGCTGACAAGCGCTGTTTTGTTTACAAGCTGCCGACATTATAGTCACCCCTCCACCCTCCGTGGATGGCCAGCTGATCCCTAAGAAATGTAGAGGAGTAGCTGGAATGGTGGTAGGGCTGGGGGTGGGGATAGCAGATGGCAGGTCTACCCCCGTCATGTCTGCTTTTTTTGGGGGGGCGGGGGGGGGAGAACAATGCATCTCTCACAGCTTCTGCTCAAAGGAGGCGAGATAGGTGGGGTGGGGGGGGAGTTTGTGGACAGCTGGCAGGCAGCGTGCCTCGTAGACCAACAACCCCTTTCCCCGACCCCCGCCCATACACACCACAGCACACCGGGACTCTCACGCTGCAATTACTCGCCACGAGCCCGGCTTAAGTATTTACAGGGGACACGCAAACGAGCAGCGTAATGATTAATCACAGACCAGGTTAACTGCAAATCGTTTCCAAACTTCATACATCCTCTTCTGACTGCGACTCTGTTGAGGATGAACTAATCACATGCCAATTCATGTGAGATGGAAGGTAGGGCACGCCAGTTAAGGTGCCTCTCAGCCTTACAGCACAAGCCGGCGACGTGCACGTTTGTGGGACCGTGGAATTTGGATTTCTGACAGCCCCTGAAGGCAACGCCTGACTTTTTGATAGCTAGATGAGGGCTGTGTAGAAAGGCAGTTTATTTTTTTTTCTGACAGTCTCTGAATGCACAACCAGAGTTGGACGGACGGGCTGCGTGATGTTGGGAAAACGTGATATGGATATGTATTTATAGTTGGGGTTTTTTTCCGGCGGTCTCATAGCATAATTGCCTAAACAAGAAAAACAATTCTTAGAACACACATTGGTATTTTTTTACTGGGATTTTTAGGTCTTTCCCTTACTTGCCCACCCATCTGGTTGAATTTTTTTGTTACAATATGGATAATAAAACCAACAAAGAAATAACAATGTGTGTTATAAAAATGTGTGCATCAAACTTAACCTACGCCTTTGCAATACACATAAGATTGCATAAGCCATGATCACGCTATGGATCTTTTTCAATATACTGTGCCGCCCTGATACCATGTTAGATTTTTTTTTTGGGGGGGGGGGAATCCAGGATTTCTGACAGTCCTTGAAGGCAACATCAGCAGGATCTTTTTCGATACACTGTGTTGACACCATGATAGATTTTTTTTTTTTAGGAAATCCAGGATTTCTGACAGTCCTTGAAGGCAACATCAGACCCTTCGAAAGCAAGAGCGGTAGTTAAATAAATAGCTCGACAGCCCCCTCATCACCGGCTCCTGCCAACCGCCCCCATGCAATTGGCCAGGCCAGCCCCACTCTTCCCTATATCCCCCCTCCCCTCCTCCTGGTGCGTTTGATCCCCGGGGGACTTGGAGCCTCAGCATTCCTCTCATTCCTCCCTCGCAACAATCAGCCTGTGAGCCTTTATGAGCCACACTCACTCAGTCTGCTCACAGGCGCGCTCACACTCGACACGCGCGCGTGGACTTCATTCGCGCACCCCACGAGCTTTTCCGGGGGCTTCTTTTTTGTGGGAGTTTGAAGTGTTCTTCTTTGTGGGATGAGATGAAGATTTGGTGAGTTTGGAGCGTTTTATTTCGTTTTCGTTTGTTCTTTTTTTTTTTCTCAATGGAATATGTTGCACAACAGCGCAATGGGATCAACTGAGATGTGTATAGAGCAGAATTTGGTAGTTTGCAGTCCCGCTGCTTGTTGCATTGATGTTAAAATGCGCCAGAATGTCGGTTTTATTTCGAAATGGTGTCACCAAACCTAATTCAAGATCAGGAATGCGTTGTTGACCATTTAAGTTAATACCACAGAGAATTAAGAGCCACAGAATTTTTACCACTTTATTGGCAGTAAAAAAAATGTTGTACAGTATATTCATTTATTTAATGTTTAAGAATTTAACATTTTAGGTCACACACTGCGCTTTAAACATTCAAGGGTTAATTGAACATATAATTCCGATGAGAGTTTGTAGATATATATATATATATATATATATATATATATATATATATATATATACAAACTCTCATCGGAATTATATGTTCAATTAACCCTTGAATGTTTAAAGCGCAGTGTGTGACCTATAATGTATATATGTGTGTATATGTATCCGCACACACACATATAAATACATACATACATAAGATCTTGTGACTGTGGAGTAATCGGCAAATGCTGGTTTCTGTGTGATTGAGTGCCGCAATCATGTGGCTGATTTGAGGAGCTCACCTCTTCACAAATAGACGCCTGCTTGAAATAAATGCCTGCGTGTCTGCTACTATTTGAGGAAATATGGTGTTTCATCTCTTGGGGCTGGGTACCGAACTGATTTATATAGTCGTTGGAGTGTTTGAGCAACAACATGGAAATTGGCTAAATGACTGGATTGCAATGGATTTGAATGTGAAGACAAAAAAATAAAATCAAAGGGCCCTTGGAAATAGCCAAATTGACCCCAAAAGGGCCACTTTAAACCAAACTGTCGGGCTTCCTGTGTGTAAGGCTCCTCGAGACATTTCGGGGGTCTCCTCATGATCGACATGCTGACCAGATTTCCTGATGTTATGTAAAACTGGCTCTGGAGGCTCAATTCTCAAATTTTTTACATTAAGAAATTGTGTTTTATGGCAAGTTTTGAAACTTTGCTGCTACTCTCTGCCCCCACACAATGGCGAAAACCTAAAAGATATATTTTATAAGGTGCCATGGTTCATTTGTGTAATATATGCGGTTGAAGTTTCTGAAAAAATCTCCAGTACAAGTCAGTCTTTGAAGGACCCCTGGAAAAACGATCAAAATGAATTTCAAATGTCTGCTTTCAACCAAAATAGCAGATTTCACGTGTCTTTTCAGCCCTGGCTATTTGAGACTTTTTTGTGGGTCTACTCTTAAATGTCACGTCTATCGAATTTCATTTTATGAAGTGAAACTGTCTTCGGGGGCTGAATTTCAGAGAACCCACCTTCAAAGACAGTTTTGTTGGTGTGACCTGACTCCTACCAAAATTTTCGTGATGTGCTCAGTCCCTAAAGGGTTTTTAAGGAATTGCTCAACTTTGTTTTTCCTTTAGAACCCTTGTGATTTGTGACCTTGACACTTTTTGTGTTTGCTCTCATGACAGACATGGCAAGCTGGCTTCAGGGTAGGATTTAAAAAAAAAAAAATTCCAGAGAGACAACAAATACGGCAGACTTGCTGTGTGTTTGGGGGATTGTTTCTTGAGACTTTTTTTTTTTTTTTTTTTTTTTGCGGGTCACCTCTCGATTGACACGCCCACCAAATTTCAAACAGTTACAATGCAGTGCGACCAAAACAAATTTCTCGGTCGAGTCAAAGGTTTTTTTTGCAAACAAAGGCTTACGGGGTCGGTCGTCTGACAGGTGTGTTTTCCTTCAGAGTCTTTGTGATCAGTGCTGTCCCTCAAGTCCCACCACCCAGGCCGCCTCACCTTCCTGGACATGAGAACCGCCGAGGCCGCCCCCGGGACGGTCCTGCACCGCCTCATCCAGGAGCAGCTTCGCTTCGGGAATCTGACCGACACCCGGTCCCTCCTTGCCATCCAGCAGCAGGCCCTGCGAGGTAGCGGCGGCGGTAGCGGGAGTCCACGTTCTTCCCAGGAGAGCCTGACCCAAGACGAGTGCCAGTACATGCACGTGTCCACACGGCAGGACCCTCAAGGCCAGGAATACCAGGGAAGCTGCGTTCATCCAGAAAACCCCTCGAGGATTTCCTCCCACGGGGAGGAGCTGCCCACCTACGAGGAGGCCAAAGTGCACTCGCAGTACCTGAAAGGGGAGCCGGACTCCGCTGTGGACGTGCACTGGGATGCCAAGCGGGAGCACGCCCGCTCCCTCAGCGAGCGCCTGATGCGGCTCACCCTGGAAGGGGGCGCGCCACTCGGAAACATCCCGGCCGTGAGTTCCTCGCAGAGTTTTCCGCAGTTGTACAACGCCGCCGCTCCAAGTCAAGGGGACCCGCGAGGGCCGCCGCCGGCGTACCCGCCCCGGGAGCGGGAGATGTACTTCCGAGAACCTACGCTGCCGCCGTTCTATTCTCAGCACAGGTTAGAAGGTTGACCGGCTTGACTCTTGGCTCGCCGTCCACGGTCACTTAAATTCCCCCCCCCCCCCCTCTAGGAACGGCAGCGTTCCCGCAAGGGCGACGTCCGGGGACGAGGGCGACACCCTGAGGTGGGAGAACTGGAGACTGAGGCGGGAAGTGGACATCTACGCAGAGAAGGCCGCACGCCTGCACAAGGTAGATGAGAGGAAATCTTGTCGATTCTTGGGAGGGAGTCAATCGAGGGATTCCCGTCTTTTCTTCCACCTTGCCGATCCATTTTTCTTGCTTTCTCCTTTTCTGTCTGCTTCCGCCTTCGCATCCATTCAACCGTGGCCCTTTTCTCTTTGTCTTCCGGAAGTCTTCCCTTTTCATTCTCTTCTTTCCATTTTCCTCGCCTCCAATCTCTCTCTCTCTCTCTCTCTCTCTCTCTCTCTCTCTCGTCCTCTCAAATTCTACGCTTCCCTAACTAAGTCTTCCTCCTGTCTTGCATCTTGACCTTTTTCCTTGTCCTCGATTCCTCTGCGTTTGATTTGACTTTTTTTCCTTTCTCATTTTCCCTTCTGATTTCCTTGTTTTTGTCCTTCCTTTCATCCTCTTCTTCTTGGTTTCCTGCCTTGGAGCGTTCATTCATTCTTGCTCCTTTCTTTCTGTCTTCCCTCTAAATTCTTCCTTCTCTTCATTTCGTCCTGCTTCACTCACCATTTTCCTCTCTCCCATTTATTTTGTCTTTTACACCCCTTCCATCATCTAGTCGTCTTTCCCCTTTCCCCTACGTACGTCTTTCCTATCCCCTTTATTTTCGTTCCACTCTTCTTTTCCTTTTTTTCGATCTTGCTTTGGTTTCCTCAATATTTCTTTTTTTTTTTTTAAACCCTTTTCCTAACTCTCTTCTTCCTGGCATCATCGACTTCCTTGTTTCATTCCTTTTGAATCATCTGTATCTTTCTTTTTCAATCTTTTGTCTTTCATCCTTTACTTCTTTCCCGCCGTCAATTCCACCGAACCCCCCTCTTTTTTTCTTCATTTTATTCCATCTTCCATCCTTTGTTGCTGTGCTCCTTCCTTCCTTCCTTACACATACAGTCTTTGCACCTTCTTTCACTCTGTCATTCCCTTTTCGTCCCACCTTTCACTTCACGTCCTTCTTCCAGTCCCCCCCCCACCTTGCGTTCTCTGATCGATGTGTTCCCCAACGTCCCCCGTTAGCTGGAGAACGAGATCGCCAGGATCTCGGAGGAATACGAGACTCTGATGAAAGGCTCGGCCAAACGTGAAGCGCTGGAGAAGACCATGAGGAATAAACTGGAGGCCCAGATAAAAAGGATGCACGACTTCAACCGGGATCTCAAAGGTACGGCGCAGCTCCAAAGCGTAATTTGATACCCTCACTTTCAAAGCCTAACGAGGATGCGTGTCATTCCCCAGAACAAGTGTGCGCGGCCGCCAAGCAGAGAGCGGACAAGGAAGCGGAGTGCTCGGAACAAAAGCAGCACGTCTTCCTCAAGCTACTCGAACAAAGTGCGTTCATCGGGCGAACGGGTTTGAAGCCCCTCACACTTGGTTGAAAGCCTTTGAAACATTTCGAAACCTGTTTTGAAACTCTCACCCATATTTGAAACCCGAACCAAGGCGTTCAAAGCCTTGAACACTGACTTGAAACCCCACTTTCAAACCATAACTTGAATTACTAATCCTACCTTGAAACCCTATTTTGAAACTCTAACCCGAACTTCAAATCCTCGCTCTGCCTGGTAACTCAAATTCAAAACCCTAACCCTTTTTTTTTCGAAACCCTCACAAATCCAAACCAGACATTTTGCGGATGTACTGTATGTTGTGTAAGTGCCATGAAACATGTGTGCGCACACACACACACACACACACACACACACACACACACACACACACACTGCGATTGTTTGTTTGTGGGGTGGACGCAACTTGAACAATAGTAGGGCGTTTACTTCACCATCTCCCTAGCGCTCTCTTATATTTTCAGCTTCTTGTTTACTCTGCGTTCCGTGGAGGCATTCCATAGCTTTTGGCAGTACAAAGCTACGCCTTGTGCATGTACGTGTGCGTACGTGTATGTGTGATGTGTGTGTGTGTGTGTGTGTGTGTGTGTGTGTGTGTGTGTGTGTGTGTGTGTGTGTGTGTGTGTGTGTGTGTGTGTGTGTAAGTGGATCAGAGGAAGTCTGCATTCCCCTGGCAGGCATGCAGTCACAGCACAGGGGGGTGGTTGTGTAATCAAGCCCCTTTCCAAGTGACACACCAGTTTCTGTTTCATTGAGGAGTTACCGAAAAACAAGTACGAAAGCCGCAGTGTGCATGCCACGACAGTAGTTGGCGATGTCACCGGAAAGTGACCCTTGATGCAAACTGCAGTAGTGGCGTACGCTTATTATTTTTTTTTTTCAACCCAACCCATGTTTGAAACACTCCTTTGAAATCCTAAGCCATAACCATGTCACCAAATCCACCCCCAAAACATGAAATCCTTTACCATTTTCAACCTTATTCAAATTCTAATTCAAAACCCTAACCTTTACTTTATACCATTCTCTGAAAACATTACCCAGGCTTAAAACTCAACTTTATTTCTAGAGCCCTTGAAGTTATGTCCTCACTCTTATGAGCTCCAGTTAGTGGGCGAGCAGCATTTTGGACCAACTGGACTTGCATGAGGGAGGACCAGCTAACTCCAAAATAACGTGTATTACAGTAATCCATCTGAGATGTGACTATGGCATGCATTACTGTTTTTCAGTGCTGTTCTGAAAAAAGACGATTTAATCCAGCTGCCAAAGATTAAAAAATATTGGTGTGGTGCCATTCGGGTTGCTCTAACTCCATCTTAACATGTATCCAGATGAGGAGCAGCAGCGCGAGCGCGAGCGCCTGGAGAGATCCATCCAGAACCTGCGGGTGTCGGCCGAGGAGAGCCAGCGTGGGCGCGAGCTCCTGGAGAAGGCTCTGCTCTCGGCGCACGCCCGCAACCGGCAACTGGAGGACGAGCTCCACAGGAAGCGCGCCTACGTGGAGAAGGTGGAACGCCTCCAGAGCTCACTGGGCCAGCTGCAGGCAGCGTGCGAGAAGCGAGAAGAGCTGGAGATGCGACTGCGCACCCGCCTCGAGCAGGAACTCAAAAGCCTGCGGGTGCAACAGGTGAGGAACTCTTTTCTTCAACCAAGTACGCGAGTATATACAGTACATACCTCCATAAAAATGACTCCCAATGCAAACGAAAACCCGTTTGACTAACGTGCCACCTATGTTGGTTGCCCTTAAGAACCAGAGCTCGGGACCGCCGGCTTTCGAGCTGAGCTCCTCGCTGTCGCAGCAGCAGCAGTTGCGGGAACGCGAGGAACGTATCCTGGCCTTGGAAGCAGACATCACCAAATGGGAACAAAAGTATCTCGAGGAGAGCACCATGAGACAGTTTGCCATGGATGCCGCCGCCACGGCAGCGGCGCAGAGGTACCGTGACAAAAGCACGGGTGCCTAAAAAAATTTTTTTTTAATATCTGTTCACCGTTGAGCAACTTGAACTGTTTTTGTTTCCTCACAGAGATACCACCATCATCAACAACTCGCCTCGGCATTCGCCCGACAGCAGTTTTAACGAGGACCTGCCTCTGACCAATCACAGACATCAGGAGATGGAGAACAGGTAGACATTTCTTGCCACCCTTGTCAAAGGGGTCCTCTCACCATGATCATCCAAATATGTTGAAAATGGACTGAAAGCGAGAACTGAATCAACAAAAATGTCAGATGCAGGGTATGATGACCCAACAATGATTAGGGTCATGTGGACCCAAGAACCAATAAAATCCCACCAAATCAAATTCATCCCATTATTAGAATCTCAAGGCCTTTCCTTAAGTTATGGTTGAGGGTATGTTTTACCCAAAGTCCGATCCAGGACTTTTCACACATTGAAAACCAGCAAAATTCCCCTAAAATCGACCTTTTGAGATACCGACTGCTCTGGTTCCAACTGATTGGGAATAATCTGAAATTTTGTTGTTCTGCGCAATCGATCAGATATGATCATTGTGCGACAAGAAGACAAGATGGCCTTTGTGTTTTTGAAATCAGGCCTCAAAAAAAGTGTTCTTATGTGTGGACCCAACACGAGCGCCCTTTGTGTGTGTTGCTCCAGGATCCGAGCCCTTCACGCACAGCTCCTGGAGAAGGATGCCATGATTAAAGTCCTCCAGCAACGCTCCAGGTGGGAGCAGAGCAAAGTGGAGAAACAAGGTCTTCGGCTGGCCAGGTCCGTCCCGTCCATCACCACGGCGACCGGCAGCACCGAGACTAAAGGTGAGTCATCCCCGCCTCGCCCCCGACCCCTTTTGTTAACGCAAGCGCTGTGACTAACTTTACGATGCTATCAGACGACAACTGGCCGCCAGACGGACAGAATGTAGCGACGTCATAAGAAAGAAAAAAAAAAAACGAGACGGCGACGGCCTCAAATAGACCGGCCGATTTTAAGTCGGAATGCGTGTCATCGCCCGCCTCCAGAATAGCCCCGATCCAGAATAGTCATGGGAAGAACCAAAGCATCTAAGTGCGGATGTAAGCACGGGGAGGTTAATTCAGCCACTTCTTTCTTTGTCCGCATCTGCAGGAAAGAGCCTCTCGGATGACCAGACAGGTGGTGCCGCGCTGCGACGCAAGAGTGCCAGCCGGGACTCCAGCACCCAATGTGACCAACTCGAGGCGAAGCCATCCAAGGACTTGGCGGTACCCGCTTCTGGTGGGTGTCCTCTGTTAAGTTTTTGATGAAGATGTTAGACCTTAGCGGTTATGTTTAAAAGGGTAAGAGTTTAGGGTTATGTTTAGGTCAGGGGTCGGGTACTTGGGTGTCTCGAGAGCCATATCCGGCCTGTTTTAAATTTCTCCCTGCTCCAACACAACCAGAGTTGTCTTACCCCTGGTTTAGGGTCAAGGGTCAGGGCAGGGGTCGGCAACCCAAAATGTTGAAAGAGCCACATTTGACCAAAAAAAAAAAAACATTTTTGTCTGGAGCCACAAAAAAATTAAAAGCCTTAATCCAGAAATTTAGAAATGTAATATTTATTTGACACATTTTTTCCGCATTAGAAAACGTTAAGAATGTGTCGTGTTTGTCCTCTGACAGAAACCATCTTAAAACAATAACTATATTTCCCTCCCCCATCTTTATCAATTTTCAAACATTTTTGAAAAAGCTCCAGGGAGCCACTAGGGCGGCGCTAAAGAGCCGCATGCGGCTCTGGAGCCGCGGGTTGCCGACCCCCGGGTTAGTGTTTTGGGTTTTGAGTTCAAGATAAGGATTAGGGTCAGGGAAGCAAAGTTGTTATCATTGCAATCACAATGACGCTCGTTTATCTGCTGTTCGGCTCAGACACTTCAGAGGAAACCGAGCTGGGAGGAGTCCAACCCTCGGAGAGCGTCAACAACACAATTGACTCAGACATGGTGGAGATCCTCATTTAAGGGGTGCCCAGACATGTTGGTGTATCTTATTTATTTCCCCATCTGTCATCGCTGCTCGTTTCAATCGTGTTGCCCTTTAAGCTAAATGATGTCTTTGTCTAATTTAAAATCACGGGAGTGATTCTCGATGTTCTTGGTGGTGGCATCCGGTGTGTTTGAGGGTTGTCCTGTGTGACAGGACAATGTACGTATATTTAACTTTATTTATCTTTGCGGATGAAGCGTTTACAAACCTCTGAATGCGGAGAACGGCTTTCGAAGATCCAGATCGAAACAACGTACGCAGTCGTCGTGTTTGTCGCCATCTTGTCTGCGTCGTACGTGGACTTTCCAAATGTATAGTAGCACTTCCGATGTATTTTCGCACGACGCTGGTCCGTACTGTATGTCAGTGTTGCGCGACTAGAGGACGAGATGGCTGAGGGTTAAATTGAGGGATAGGTTAGAGGTCATGTTTTCAGATTTGGGTTTGGGGTTCGAGTTTATGGTTGAGGTTTCATGATCGGTTCATAGGTGGGCAATTTGGGGTTTTTGGGTTCGGTTTAGTGGTTAGAATTCCGCATAGGTTTAGCTTCATGGGGTAGGATACAGTTTTGCAAGTCGGGGGTTTATGGTAAAACTTATGCGATTAGGGCTACGTTAGGTTTCGGGTTTAATTTCAGAGTTGAGGCTTTACGCGGGTCACACCTTCCAGCTCCGAAGCTAATATTTGCGGCCTTTTAGCGCAAATTCCCCCTGGCCTTGCCTCGCCCCTGCACTGGAAGCTAATCTTCTCACATTCCTGACCGAGGGAGTGAGGGGGCGAAAAAAAAAAAAAAAGGCTATCTAAAGCGGGGGAATGTGAAGTCCCTCAGCCCTCGTTAAAACGTTGCACATTCCCCGCTTTAGATAGACTTTGGTTTCCGCCATCAGCCAAACTCCCCAAGTTTGCCTGGAATGTGTTTTCGTATGAAATTGGAATAATGCCCGCTCTGGAAGAGGGTGGGGTGGGGGGAAGACCGCCTTGGTAGACTAATCCAGTTTGGAATCGTCGCTGTTGGTGTCATCAGGGGGATTATCCACACGTAAATTCTGACATTTAACGGCTCGTTCCACTTCATGCTTTTCCGTCAAACAAGCGCACGCACACACAAAATATGAATGAATGCATTTGCTGGTCAATGCAGTGTGACAGATTGACTAAAATGTCCCTTTGGCCCCCTTGGAATGTGTTTACATGGAAGTGAAGTTAATATATTTTTTTGTTGTTGTTTTTTTCTTGGCCCCCTTGGAATGTGTTTACATGCAAGTGAAGTTAATATATTTTTTTTGTTGGGGTTGTTTTTGTGTTTTGTTTTGTTTTTCATTCATAAGCTTGTGTTTGTGTTGTTTTCTGGTGCCAAAGATTGACTCCGATATTTGTTCTCTTATTCAAGTTGTAACAGGTGACACGGACACACAAAAGTTTCTCAATTTGGACGTTGCCGTGAACTTTTTTTTTGTATGTTTTGCTGAATATTTCCCCCAATGAGAGATTAAAGATATTAATATATGTACTGCAAATGGCTCCCTCCTTTACTAGTGGTTTGCTCTACGAACATCCATCCATCCGTCCATCCATCCATTTTCCGATCCGCTTTATCCTCACAAGGGGGTTACTGGAGCCTATCCCAGCTGTCTTCGGGCAGTACACAGGGGACACCCTGAACCAGTTGCCAGCCAATTGCAGACGAACAACCATCCACGCTCACACTCGCACCTCGGAACAATTTCGAGTGTTCCATGAACCTGCCACACATGTTTTTGGAATGTGGGAGGAAACGGGAGAAAACCCACGCAGGCACGGGGAGAACATGCGAACTCCACACAGGAAGGCCAGAGCCAGGATCGAACCCACGACCTCTGCACGGTGAGGTCGACGGCTAACCACTTACCCACCGGGCCGCCCACTCTACAAACAATAGAAAACCAATTGATTTGATTTTTTTTTAAAAATAAATAAAAATAAAGAGTCCTTAGGATTTCGGGGTAAGTGTTGGGATTTAGGGTCATGGTTTAGAGATTTAAGAGTTTAGGTCAAGGGTTAGGTTAAGCAGTTTTATGATTTAAATTTAGGGGTTAGGTTGAGAGTTTAGGATTTTAGAATGTAGGATTATGAGTTGATCTTAGGTTTGTACTGGGTTTTAGAGTTTAGGATTATGGGTTGGGTTCATAACGTTAGGTTAGGGGAGGAGTGAGGTTTTACAGGCTTGATTTTGGATTAAAACTCACTGGTTAGGGTTAGCTTTTCGGTCTAGGTTTACAGGTCACGGCGCTAGCACTACGGAAACACTTGCACTTTGAGAATTGTAGAAATATTTGCATTTTTCCGCTCCAAAATGTGAATGCAACTTCTTTTTGCTTTGGTTTTTTTTTTGCTAGTTAGTTCTCAGTTAAATCAGTTTCCTGTCAACAAACCCTGACAATGCTTATCTCCCAATACTGAGATGTAGTTTATCAGGCATCTTCCGTCTCGGCATGTGGAGTTGTACCACGTAAATAAATAAATAAATACAAAGTCCTCAGCAAGCATCAACTCCGAATGTCAATATTGACACCTTCCTCATTCCCCCAGCCGATGAGATGGCGATGGCATTCCGCGGATGCCACACATTCTCGCACCGCTTCTGTCTTTACTTGTTGCAGAAAGTGGTGGAGACTCATTCCCCCAAATGGGGCAGGTGTTTCCGAGATTTACCGTCCCCCTTTTTTTGGCCCATTTCTCACTTGCATACTCCACATTTCTGATTAATTCCTGCAAGCGTCATTCTCCCTTCGCCTGGCGAGGAACTGACAGGAATGTTCCAAGCTGGAGCGGTGACTGATGGGACGTTGCTCCCAGGAATTCAGGCCTCGTGTCATTCCATCCTCTCTCTCTCTCTCTCTCTCTCTCTCGCACACACACACACACACACACACACACACACACACACACACACACACACACACACATCTGGATTCCTGCTGGGATTGCCGTGACCCAGCGTCTCAAGTCTCGGTGGATCCATTTTCTAACTTTCAAGCATTGAAATTCGCCCAACATGGCTGCTTGAAATCAACATGGAAAACTTTCTGTTCAACTTCAGGCATGCATTGAGATTTTTTTTTTTTTTCATAATAGACGTGTCCACCGAATTGTGTTTTGATCGGTGAAAATGATGATTTTTATTTTTTTCTACAATTTTCGAGCCATGGATTGGCGCCAAAATATCTGCTTGAAAGCAAAATGTCTGACTTCCTGTTCCTTTGAAGGCATGGGCCCTTGAGACTTTTTCATGTGTCATGTGATCATAGTTTCGCGTCAATCAGCGAAACTGGTGTCGGAGGCTAATTTTGTTGAACTTTCATGCTGTGGAATTAGCCTCAAAATGGACGCTTTGAATCAAAATGTCTGACTTCCTGTTCAGTTTATAGCAAAGGTCCTTGAGATCTTTTTGCATGTCCTGTAAGGATAAACTTGCCCACCTAATTTACTTTATAATTCAGATCGGTGTCGCTGGTATACTTCAGGTATAGGTTGTCGAGAATTGGTTGTGCGTCCTGTTATGGCAGGTAGACGATTACCAAATACTGGATTACCCCCAAAATGTCTGCTTCCACCCAAAATTGTTGACTTCCTATTGAATTTCGGGCATAGGTCCTTGAGACTTTAAGACGTGCCGATTGTTGAAGTAGCTATCAGGGCTTTTTTTTCCTAACTTTCCGCTAAGCGCTACTAAAGTATTCTACATAATCTTGTTATTATTGTCATTAAAGGCCAGCCACAAAGAATACGGGGGAAAATATGCATGTGGAACTCTGTGCTTTGCTCTCATTTTCATGGAAATTCCACAACTTCCTGCTTACAGCTTCCATGGAATGTTCACCCCCACCCCAGCACTCCACCTCATCAACTTTTCCACAAAGCTGCTGATTTTTGGAATGTTTCTCCCATGAATTAATGCCTGAGAGCGCACCATTGGTGCGAGTCCTTGTTACCGTGTAAAATTGTTGGTATTTTAGGGGGCACTAAAAATTTTGAAAAAAGATATCCACCCCCCCCCCCCACACACACACACACACACACTATTTTCAGCAAGTGATCCAAAACTGGGTGGAGATTTATCATAAGATGGCAGAAAAGAAGAAGACTCAAGTATCAATGCCCAAAATTGAAAAGGAAACTATTTCAAAGCAGCCATTTGGGGGTGAGTTCTAGAGCTGAAAAAAATGGGGAAAAAATAGCCCCAGGGAGTGCCTATCAAGACAATGAAAGTACTTTCCCTTGTCGAGGCTGCAGTCCATCCATCACACTGTGTTTGTGGCCTATGGGCACATGAAGAAACGCAAACATTTTGACATTGTCACGCAAAGGTAAAAATAACTTCCTCAACTGTCGTTCTTGTTGTTTGATGCTTGCTGAACCGAAATGTTAACATCACAGTATTGACAGGTGCAGACCATAAAATGCAACTTTCCAGGTGAAAAGGGCAGAACGCCATGCCCTCGTTGCTTAACACTTGCTGCTTCTCCTTCCCCACGGGGGTGGCCTATACACAAATGGAAGTCTGGCGCCCCCTAGTGTATGCAGGGTATGCTACAACCTGAACTGACAACGACTACGTTACGTGTTTGTCATTTTCACTCAATAGAAGTGAAAATACAGAGCTGCCACTTCAACTGCTGAATAAAAAATAAAAAAACAATCAAGTAACGGAAGTAACGGTGAACAATCTATGTTATGTTCCTTCCTTATACGACAGAAGCCAAGCAGGTTGTGGAGATCGGAGCAGCCCACTCCACACCACACCACACCCCTTCGCTCCGTCTGTAGTGGGATCGGCGAAGCAATTCTCGTGCTCCCATAGGTGGTTGCATTGGTTTTCTCCTTGCTGATTGGTTGTGAGATGTCAAAAAAGGGAGCCGGCTCCTCGTTGAAGATTTAGTTTGGTCGACGCATTTCTCGCGTTTCCATTTGTCAACATTACGGAATTCTCATCACTCATTGGTTAAAACAATTTAGAGGGGCCGGGTCTGCCTTGAATGTTATGGGTGGTCGTGACATTCTCCACCCTCCCATTGGGCGACGCTTGGAAAATTTCTTCACCAATTGGTTGAAAGGTGTTAAGGGGGCGGCTTCCCCGAAAGCGTTCTTCCGGCTTACATGTCGCGAACGGAGAAAAAAAGGAAAAGAAAAGACGAATGGAAAAATTGTAATCCTGAAAAGGAGCGTTGCTTTTGAACTCAGCGAAACGGCAAACACCTGTGCGTACTCCGAAACGCGTTCGCTTGTGCAGCGAGACCGGGTTTAGACCGTTGTTTCCCTTAAAAGTTCAATATTTAGACGTGAGTGCCGAACAGGCGGCAGCAGAAAACCTAGCGAGTCTCACGTTAGCTTGTTGCTAATCAGTTCGCTATGCTAGCATTGTATCGTTTCTACTATGTGAGGTTATCGAAGCAAAAATGGTCGAATATTTCCAGTTAAAGAGGCACTGGGCGAACATCGCGTTTGCGTTCTCTTTCCAAAGCGGCGAAAGTGGCGTCGCTTCATCCGATAAACTTGATGTTAGGGGAGTGTTTCGACCAATAAACGGAAGCCAAAATACTCCCCAATGTACGTATTAATTTGCTAATGTTAGACGGGTGTCTTAAAATGACGACTGTTTACAATAAACATAACTAAGGTCAGTTGTTGTGTACTCGCTCGGTCCGCAAAGGGTTAATTTTCGTTTTCATTGTTAAGGTGCTAGTACGTTTGTTGTCCCGGCCGCGCATGCGCACAGTTTCTTGTCAAGTGTTTTGACATGCGTTTATATACGTCCTTTTTCTTTTTTCAGGTCGTTGAAAAAGGTAAATACACCCGAATGAGCTCTCAGCAATTCCCACGACACGGGCTTCCCGCCTCGAACCCAGGGGGGGCTCCACTAATGCCCACCGGTGGAAACCTGGTGCCTGTCAGTCAGCCGTCAAACCCGCAAGGTTATCTATCTATGTATCTATCGATCTATCCATCCATCCATCCATCCCCATGCTGTTTTTTTTTGCTTTTGAAAAGGGACTTGGTCTGCCCCAAAAACTCAAAATGTCCCATCCCATATGATCTTTTCACCTGTGTTATCACATGACCAAAATTATGACATTGGAATTACAGACCAGGTGTTCTTAAATTTTTACAGGCAAATAATGCCTATAAAAAGACTTGGAATTGTTTCAGAATGTGCTGTAAGGGGTGAAGACACACATGTCCTTGTCTTCCATCAGACATGCTACAGAGTGAACTTGTCTTAAGTAACTGTGTGTTAGCTATGAAAGCAAAATATTCCATAGCTCACTGAGTGGCTTTTTTTGCTGCAACTCAGTATAATTGATTGCTTGTTAGCTGTTGAAGCTGCGGACGGCAACCAGCAGGAGCACCCGCCGGCGGGGTGCGGCACCAGCACGGTGGCGTTCCGGGACGACAAGCAGGAGACCATGGTGGTCCGACCATACCCGCAGGCCCAGACGCACGGGCAGCCGCAGCCCGTCCCGCAGGCGCTGCCCATCCAGCCTGGCGGCCCGCCCGTGGCCTTGCCTGCTCCGCCGGTGCATCTACCGCAGGGCCAGCCCGCGGTCCTCACTGATGGACAGATGAAGGTGAGTCTCGAAATATAGTCTCCAATTGGTGTTTTGCACATTAAGACAGAGGTACCTTGTCTGAGAGTTGAATTCGTTCCATAACCAACATTGTTTGTGTGTGTCTTTCCAGGCGGTCCTGAAGTCCCCCATGCCGAGCCGCCTGATCGCCCCTGCGCCAGCTTCCAACCAGGGCCACATCCCCATGCCCCCCAAGGTCCCGGGCCACATGACGTCGGCCCCGGAGAGCAGCAGCGCCACCACGCTTTCTATTCCCGTGGCCACCATCAGCGGACAGCAGGTGAGGATATGATGTCATTGTTACACTCAAAAAGGACTTGTTGATTAATCAAGTTTTGATTTCATGTTCAGGCCATGTTGCTGAGCCCTACATTCAAATGTGTTCACAATGAATCTGATTGCCTTTTTTTTTTTTTTTTGTGTGTCAGGGTCACTCCAGTAATTTGCACCAACTGATGTCGGCCAACATCCAAATCATTCGAGGCAGCGGTCCCACGTTGCAGATCGGGACCCCTGCCGTGCCGCCGCAGACCTTCACGTCACATCTACCACGAGGTACCGTGCATGCTAATTTGACAGCCACATATGCTTTCAACGCAATCCGGAGGGAGGAATTAGTGTTAGATTGAACGCCCCCGTCCTAGCATTGTCATACCCTGACACGCACATTTCGACAGAGGTAGCTGCTCTATTTTCCATGGCTCGAGTAATTGAATCCTCCACACCAAAGTACCCTGTTTACAAACATGAAATGGGTTATGTCAGGGCTCTCCAACCCTTAATTTCCTTTGCACTTCTTTTACACAGTGAAAATGCTGGAATGGATTTTTAGAAACATGAACGGAGGAACATTTATTTAGATTGCAAATTCCATTTTGTATCTTTTCCTCCATAGGCGCAGCTGCAGCCGCTGTCATTTCCAAC